AAAAAAGAAGGGGAGTTGCAGTCGGGGAGGTCTTTTTTTTGTGGGTAGTTCGTTGTGGGGAAGCAGACGACGACTTTCAGAAGCACAGGAGCAATGAGCGTGCACTTTTCACATTGGGGCTATTTCTCAGCTTTTCAAGAGCGTACTAGATTAATATTTTTGATTTCGTAGAGCTGCTTTTTTAGCATTTGGAATTTGGGTTGTTTTGTTATTGTATTTCACAACGTGAATTATAGTTTTTTTTTTCGGGACTGGGTCAATCCTGTGTAAGAATTTAAAAGACCATAAGCGGGCAAGGCTCTATCAAGCGACGCACAAACACTGCGCTTTCAACTCTACGATATCTTGCTTTGGCCTTTTTCAATGGAAAACCGCAAGCGTGAGCAAAAAAGAGCATAAAATCTGTGTTGGCTCAGCAATTGTTTGCCGACCAAGCTGGGAGCGGCGACAAAAATCAAACAGCCGCTGAAACGCCACTTACATGAATAGGTTCGATGATAGCTCAACTGTCCTCACCTCTACAAAATTTTCTTCTTTTTTTTATTTTTTTAAGAAAAGGTTGTTTAAGTTTCCATTATGCGGCTTGGGCACGTGAGTTACACGGCAAAGGGGGACATAGTATAGGGGAAAACTTGTAGCGATCAGTCGTCTAGTTAAGTAAAATGAGTTAACTTTTTGATTATTGAAAACAAACGCATGACTCCAATTAGATGCAATCCAATACAATATAATACAAACTTTATTCTCACCACATATACATGTGGTGAATGGGAGGCCGGAGAAAAAGCTGCAGAAATGCAGCTAGACGAGCTCCGGACCCCCCACTCAGCAGCTATGAAGGAGCACAAAAACAAATCAAATGCGCCCAGAAATAAACAATGCAAATATAGTGCGCACATAAGGAATACATTCTTAAGTATTAAAATACAAATTGAGTATACTGCTGTTTGAAATTTTCACTACATCTATATTTTGATCACAATATTCATTCAACAAAAAAGGTAAAGCATAACGCATTGTTTGTTTTCTATAATTTGTCCTGCATTTCTGAATTTTCCAAGGTTGGTGATGTCTAGACGGGTAATAATTCTCTGTTTTTTTTTTAATTCAGATAGTTCAAGAATTGTACTAGAACGGCCGTATGTCGCATTTCTGTAAGCTATTGTTAAACGGTAGTTATAAATTTGCTGTATGTTAAGGATCTTATATAATTGAAACAATGATTCGGTGTGATCAATGTAAGAAACATCTGCTATTATTCGTATCACCTTTTTTGTAATAAATGTTTCATATTTATATTTAAATCAAACATATTTCCCCAGACGAGATTGCAATAACACAAATGTGAATAAAATAATGAGTTATATAAAACCCTTTTTACGCTTTTCGCTAGAACATGTCTATGTTTGTTCATAATTCCTACAGATTTACCCAGTTTAGAGCAGAGCCTTTTTACGTGGTTAGTCCAGAGCATATTATCACAAAAAATACTCCGAGTGTTTTAACACTATTTACATATTCAATGTGCAAGGACCCAAAGTTGAGAGGATTGTATAATCTATCGCTCGAACCACGTGGGCGAAATATTACTGCTTTTGTTTTTGAGACATTAATAGTTAAACAATTCACTTCAGCCGATGCTGTTAATTTTATAAGAAACACATTTGCTTTATTTACAAGACCCTCTTCGGATGAATCTGAAAAAAATACACTGGTGTCGTCTGCGTAGATAATATATTTGCAACTTGAATCGAGTTTCACTATGTCATTTATATATAACAAAAAAAGAAGTGGCTCGAGGATACTTCCCTGGGGAACTCCTGATAATATACTTAAAGGTGTCGATCTCTGATTTTTAATTTGAACAAATTGGGCGCCATGGTGTAAATATGACTTCATTAGTGTGAGTGGAAGGTCGCAAATATGCTATAAGAAAATAATTTATCTAGCAGGATTAAATGATTTATGCAATCAAAGGCTTCGCTGAAATCTAAAAAAGACCCAAGCGTCAAAATCTTGTCTTCAAAATTTCTAAGGATATGTTCTTTTTGGGCTAATAAGGCTGTTTCTGTTGATCTATGTTTTCGGAATCCAAATTGACAGTCAGTAATGAGCGAGTGCTTATCACAAAAAATAATAATGCGGGAGTGAATAATATTTTCTAACCCTTTTGAGAATACTGGAAGAATGAATATAGGACGGTAATTTCCTAACTCATTTTCGTTTCCTGATTTGAATAAAGCTACAACTTTCGCGGTTTCCATTTTTTTAGGAAAGATACCGGAAGATATTGCGAGGTTGTATATGTATGACATATATGGGGGCAATAATGTCTACTACATATTTTACGGGTTTAATTTGTAAATCATCCGCATCACGACTTTCCACTGTTACTCAGACACATAATAGAGGAACACACTTCAGTCTTATATGTGGGGTACATAAAGAGCGATTCCGAGATAGGCTTAATATTTTCTGACGGTTCATGATAATAAGAGTTGTTCCCGATATTCACAAAACGGTTGCTAAATACGTTTGCCAGGTTTGAGGCACTTAAGACCTCTCCATTATGTTTAAAATTTTCAAAACTTTCTGGCTTGTAAGACGTATTAAAAGCACTATTTATACGTTTCCATAATATATCGGACTTTTTTAGACATTCATCATCAAATAGACTCGAATAATAAATTCTTTTAGACTTTCTAATTTCCGCTGTTAATTGGTCTCTGTATTCTTTGCAATTGACTAATGCCACTGCCTCATGTGTCACAAGAAATGTTTTATAAAGTTTATATTTTATACGCGTCTTCTTAAGGAGTGCAGTGGTCATCCAAGGCTTTCGTTCTTTTCGGGCAAGTTTAATAGTTTTATTTGGAAAACAAGAAAAGTAAACCTGTTTAAATTTTTCCCAAAAGGCGTTATATGCACTATTCACGTCTTTTGAGTTCAGTACATCGGTCCAATCAATGGCTAATAATATCTACCTAAATGCGTCTAGTGTAAGTGGTGTAATGTTTTGGAAAGTCATAGAATTTGTGTCACGCTTATGTACCTCTCGTGTTGTGTCAGCTAGCATAAATAGGGGCAGATGGTCGCTAATATCTGAGCTTATTACGCCAGCTTTGTTCTTTTCCTTCTCATAGTTTGTAATAAAAAGATCAATTAATGTTGATGTAGAAAGTGTAGTGCGTGTGGGATGAGTAATTACATTAACAAAATTGTTCGTCGTTAAAAATAATAACAAGTCGGCCGCGTTGGGGCTATTTTCTAACAAATTAATATTTAAATCACCACCAATAAAAATAACATATTTGCTTTCGTTTGCATGACACAGCAGTTTATCTAGAAATGTCAAAAATAGTGCCACATTCCCGCTGGGCGGACGATATATAACAGCAAAAATATAAGTCCCGTTTTATACACAGTATTTCATAGTCGTCCGTAACCAGATGTGTATTTAGGAACATTTTCGAAATTATCACTCGCGACAAGCATAGCGACACCACCCCCCGCCCGGAAACACGAATTTGATAAAAATGATTATACTGGGGGAGAATAAAAAATCTGTTTCATCTCTGTACCAAGTTTCCGTGAACATTATAACATCGAACGAGCATTTACATGACTCAAAAAGAAACATAAGGTCGTCTATCTTAGATCTAGCTGATCTAACATTCAGGTGAAAAAGTTTCAAGAGTTTACTTGTTTTATTTCTTTCGTTACAAATATCTTGCAGAAGAAACAGATCGTTGTCTGCCCTTTCCTAGCACAAAAAAAAACAATAAAAAGAAAAACGCTTATCCTACAATTTTGGCTTGACAAATCTTGTCGAGATCACCCTCGTGTTCTATCAATACGATATCTGCGGTTTCAGATCTACGGGCCCAAATCTTGCTGTTTCGCACCCACACGTATTTCCATCCCGCGTCTCGCTTTTTTTTGCAGTCGCCTTTCCAAGTAGAGTCTCCAAGGTCGGGCACAAATGCTCGTTTACAAAGACCGCGGTGTCAGTCGATAATCCGAAGTCTTTGTTCGTGAGTCGCTTTTCCCTGGCTTTTGCAAGCACCTTTTCGCGTTTCTCTCTTGGTAAGAACTGCACGATAATATTTTCCTTGTTTAGTTTTAGTAACAAGCAAAATACGAGAGTACTTTGCTTGTTTAGATAATTGCTGAGCGTCATCGATAATCACTAAATTATTAATATTTGGGAACACATTGGGCGCGTAGAAAGCGTAGTAGTCCGGTAAATACACAACTCGTGCAACAGGTACAAGCCTGGGGCTAGAATAATAGACGGAAAAATCGCGCGGGAGTGTTATTTAACCGGTAGCCTTGTTCCTGCTGCACGAGTGGTGACTTTAGCGCACTGCTCCGCATATCACGCGCTCAAATTATTTCTACCAGTTACTGATTTAGTGATTTTCGATGACGCGCAGCATGTTTCTAATTGAAACCACTATCTATTTTTAATAATTAAAAGTTAATTGACAAATTTTACTTAATTAGCCGACTGATCCTTTCGATCAGCCTTCTACACTGTCCCCTTGGCCGTATAACTCACCTGCACAAACCGGATAAGTCTATATTTTAAGTCTCATTTATAAAAAATCTGTTAAGCTTAAAAAACACGTTGTAAAGTACCGAAGTCTTCTGTGCCAGGCGCTCGCCTGGGCTTTTCTTGCCGTTTACGACTGTAATGTACGCTTTGGTATTGCGTAAAAACAGTTTGCTGAGCAAGCGTAGTGCTGGCCATGTGAGGGTAAGCGTGTTTGTTTATAAAAATTAAGTTGATTGTGTTGCAAATTTATTTTTCTCGTTTTTTGTTTGCTTTTGTTTACGTTTCCAGTTTCTAAAATAATAAAATTGGTAAGGTCAGCGCTACAAGTGAAAAAAAATACAAAAACTCTCTTTCGATAAGAGCATAGTAATTAAATAGTCAATTTACATTAAGTACTAACTTTTATAGTATACTACTCCAACATTAGAATGGAAGTTCTCACACTTTCAATGTCCTTGGGTTTCAGGAACACTTGTAATGGTGATTTATACTCCTTATTTGCAACGATTATGGTGCCTACAACACATAGGACAGCTACCTTTATTGTCCAAGCCATATGTGCGACCTGCAAAAAACAAATTCATCAACCGGATCTTCCCCGAAATATCAAAAATAAGGTTTTCTTGTCTCTCTTCAGTACTCAGCATGAAAATGACATAATATCTGGAAAGGCCTTTCTATTGTAGATTTTAGTTTCTACAAAAATGTCTAAAGAGGACATAGTCAAAGCATGACCCTTCCAAGGATAGAAAATTTCAAAGCGATGAACATAAATAATATAAACTTGGGAACGTGTTGGGTTTCGGACAAAGATGACAGAAAGAATAACACTCTTAAGACAAAGGAACGACGAACACTTCTTTTTTTCAGAAGACAAAACGTGTTCGTTGTCCCTTTGTCTGCACAGTTTTATGCTTTCTGTCGTCGATGGACATAACCGTTATATTTTCTTCAAGTTGCCAGAAATGTTAGTATGCAATAGTAGATTTTCATTTATTTTATACATTTTTAAAACTTGAAACAAGAAAAGAAAAAAAAAGTAAAAGCTGCTTACAACTCCCTGTAACGCCGAATTAGAGCGCAGCTCTTGAGGAGGAGGAGGGAAGGGCACTGGGGGGGTTAAACTAACCAGGGGGAGTCACGTGACCTTGGGGGTCACGTGACCTTGGGGGGTCACGTGACCCCGAATGCCGATGATGTCATCACTGACGTCACTGATGACGTCATCAGTGACGATGACGATGCGGGTACCGATGACGTCATTAGTGACGTCACTGATGACTTCATCAGTGATGATGACGATGACGATGCGAATGTCGGTGACGTCATCAGTGACGTCGCTGATGACGTCATCAGTGATGATTACGATGACGATGCGGATGTCGGTAACGGATGGATGGATGGATGGTAATGGCTATACCCTTTGTATCGGGCGGCAGCTTGCGCCACCTAGCCTAACATTTCGTCATCCCTTCTACTATTTTTTTTGCATGAATTTTGTTATAACAGTTCCCCCTCTCTTTTAAATTGAATTTATTGCCTATTTTTACATGAATTTTTTTTTATCCTTCCCTAGATCTCTTCCACCAATCTTCCTATCTCCTCTTAGTTGTCGCAATTCTTTCCCAATCCATTCGTCCATTCATGTCTGGAAAACCCAGCGCCCCCTCCAAATCCGTAGTCATCCCCCCCAAGAGGGTGGGACGAAGCCCCGTACACCTTAAAATTAGATGTTCTATAGTTTCCCTTTCGCGGTTGCATACGTCACACAGAGTGTCTACTTCCTGAAATTTAGCCCTATACGTTTCCGTTCGCAGCACCCCCGTTCTAGCCTCAAAAAGCAAAGAGCTCCCCACTGAATTATCATACAGCTGTTCCTTCTTTATTTCTTGTCATCAGTGATGATGACGATGACGATGCGGATGCCGGTGACGTCATCAGTGATGATGACGATGACGATGCGGATGCCGGTGACGTCATCAGTGACGATGACGATGACGATGTGGATGCCGGTGACGACATCAGTGACGTCACTGATGACGTCATCAGTGATGATGACGATGCGGATGTCGGTAACGTCATCAGTGATGATGACGATGACGATGCGGATGCCGGTGACGTCATCAGTGATGATGACGATGACGATGTGGATGCCGGTGACGTCATCAGTGATGATGACGATGACGATGTGGATGCCGGTGACGTCATCAGTGACGATGACGTCATTGGGGGGCCACGCGACATCGGCGGGGGTCACGTGACCCCGGGGGGGCTCGCGCGGTGCATTATGGGACATCATTTCCCATGATGCACCGTGGTCACGTGACCTCGGGGGGGTCACGTGCCCCCCCACGAGGTCACGTGACCCCGGTGGGGGGCTCGCGCGGTGCATTATGGGACATTTCCCATGATGCACCGCGCGGTTACGCCGACGCCGACGCCGACGGCGACGCCGACGCCGCTCAAGCCAGAAACGGGCCCCTAAGAGCTGCGCTCTAAAAACTTTAGGACACTTAAGCTTCGCCTTTAAAGTTGGAACGCGATAGTGTTATCGGGCCCTGTTCGCAAAGCCTTCTCATATAAACACGCGCTTTTCCTTAAGCCGTGCAAACGGGTGTGCGTTGTCTAGTCGGTAGCGCCACGCGCGACGTTATGTCACATGACGTGTGACCCTATCAACACGCTGAATTTAGCGCAAACCATTCCGCTAAATTTGGCGGACAACTTTGCCGCCAGCTTTGGCGGGTCAATAGGGTCATGACTTCATAGCCACGTGTGATGTTACACGTGACGTCACACGTGGCTGCGTATCTTGCATTATGGGATTTTTTGGTTCCCCCGACGCCGGGTTTTCTGCGAAACAAGCTCCTAAATGCTACCGCGTTAAAATTCATTTAACGATTGGAATCTAACACATTTAACTCAGCAATAGGTGCACTGTTGATTAACTGACTAAAAAGGCCTGCGCTTCCCTTTACCGCAGAGCACGGAGGATAGAAAATCTTCGCGAGCGAGTGATAGCGATTATTGGGCCCTACGCACGTAAGCGAAGTAACTTCCACGACTAAGGTATTGGGCTCATGAGAATCGTGGATCGCATTATCGAAGAGGATCGCTTTTTCCACTTCGTTATCTGCTACGTCTTTTTGCATTGAACGCGACGATTGGCTGTAGCGTTCTCTATGGAAAAGTGGACATACGGTGGTTGTTGACAAACAGTTAACGAAGTTGCATTTCCTGAACTCATACAACCTTTGCATTCGGTAGTATTAAACTATTTAAAAAATAATGATTAGCGAATTTGAGAAAATCAGCTAGATGATCAGCTAAAACCTGACACAGCTATTCACTGGAGACACCCGTGGTCTGTCATGTCATACTAAAGTAATTATTTCTTCATATCTGGAATCATTTTAGGTTGTAGTCAAACATGCTCCAACATTCTGCAATAAAGTCATTCATCAGCTGCCTCCTTTGTTACGTAAGCAGCCGAAAATACTAAAATGTCTCCAAAACTCTTTGCACCATGGGCTTCGCTTTAAACAATAGGCTTGGGAATTGATCTAACAGAAAATGCTTCTGCAAAAATGACCTTTCTTTAAAGCAAACCTGCACATGTCTGGCCTATCGCGCACCTGGTAACTATAATTACCACATAATATAGGATGCATACAAAATTCGATACATTCATTTCTCTCGCCATTCAACCTTGGATCAATTGTTTTTAACGGTTTCGTGAAATCCGGATAATCTTGATTTGGACTTTGGCAGGCTCTTCGGATGACAATATTTTACAAACTACAATTCTTAAAGGATGTTTAAAAATGTTTTAACATATTTCACTGGTTCAGAGATAGGCAAAATACATGCAAATATGTATCGAAATACAAATACAAAATACTTCGTCAAAAATGTATTTAATTACAAATCTAATTACATTTCTAAAAAAGCATTTAAGTAAAAGATTCAAATACAACCAAATGTATTTGGTCTCCTCCTAACACTTTTCCCAATACATTCCTCAAAATTTGCGTCAGCGACTTCAGGGCACCTGCAACGGGTTTCCGGGTATCTCATTTTAATTTTGCATCGCACACTCTGGAGTTAGTGTGCGAGGCTCTAGTAACGTAATAGAACTATAATCACAAAAAACAAACCAACGTAATCAGCTTGGACGTAATAGGTGAAAAAGTACAGAGCTTCAAGCAGCTTTTCTTGTCGATTATATTTTGGTATAGACCAACAAAGAACCGAGAAGACCAAGACGTGCAGAACTAGCCAGAGAATTTTTTTTTTTTTTGTGGCAACTCGCACCACTTACGAAAATCTGGACGACCCGCGCATTTAGAATGTTCCGGGCAAAAATATGGATGGAAATCAGGCTGGAGAGCATGACAAGTTGTAACAGGCACTTATTTAGCTAGTCTGCCTGTTAACGTCGATTTCGTCACCATTCTTGCCCTGGACTAGCACCGTAATAACAAAGTCACTAAACGCCTGTGCTTGATTGAGTGACACTGCATTTGGTGCAGAACGTAGTTTTCTTCCTGCTCTGGACACGTCTTTGGATGAGCAAAATTAGTCGTGACAATAAATTTGAGGGATGTATTTTCGGCCACAAAATTGTATTTAATTACAATTGTATTTGAAATACATACGTTTTAGTATCTAAATACACACGTCAAATGCATTACCCAATTTGTAATTAAATACAAATGAAAAATACACAAAGTATTTAAAATACGTATTTCAAATACTTGTGTTTGAAATACTGCTTATCCCTGCGCTGGTTACGTTCCTCGAATAATTTTTCATTTGATGAAGTGGCGTGATTCAAAGGCACATATGGAAAACATTTCTTTTTATGTATAAAAGCAAGGGAACTCACTTTACGATTTCAGGAAGACCGTAACTCCAAGAGAGCCGTCGAGGGTAATATTAATACGTGTAGTTTTCTTGTGCTTATATATATATATATATATTTATTCAGTTTCTCTTGCCCAAAGGTTAGAAGAAGTCGCTAACCACACAAATGCCAATTCAACGCTTTAAGACGTTTCCAATCAGAAAAAAAGAACATACTTACGTACGCGAACGGGAAGTGCACAGTGCATTTACCCGTCAGTGCCATAAGGCGGATAGAGCGAATTTCCGCAAGCATACAAAACGCGTATCGCAAGCCCACTACCGACTTCCGCGTCGCTCTTGAAAACAACAATGAGAAGTAACGAAATTAATTCGAAAGAATAATATTGGTAACCTTTGCTCGACCGCGTGTATATTCTTATTCTTCGCACTTTTTATAGATGCACTCTGGGTCTTTCGCGAACATTGTGGTCTGCAATGTAATATTATTTTGTGGTAACTCTGCTTTAAACAGTTCCTGTCAAATGTTTTCTCAGAAATACGCAGATGAATTGCTTCAGACATGGTCTTTGAAAAAACCTGAAAACATAGCGTAGATCCCTTTGATCTTCGAGGGGCGTTATAAATGTATCTACCTCAATGAGAAGTCTAGAAGCTTTACTATACTTCTTGGTATTCCTTACACTTCAT